TGAAAGTGGTCAACGAAAGAGAATTTGAATTGAAAAGGTGTCGAAAGTCGACCTGTCGTCTGGACACACTGTTACGGAAAGGGACATAGCTCTAAGGGTCGCGCCTGCCTTAAAGACAGATCATTCTGTTTCTATGTCAGACATTGTTGCATTCTGCCCACCAGAACATTAGTCTATCATCTCTGCTGCCGCTGCAATAGCAGGTGCCGCGTCCCGACCTCTCTCCAGGTCTGATAAGGTGTACAATTGTTCTGATTGTCAGTTCGTGCGTGAACCAAGCAGTATACATCTAGAATGATTGGCCTTTTTTGGGGCCAACCTCACAGTACTCCAACTGGCAAATTATCCCCGACTGCACAAAGAGTTTCAAAACAAACACATACAAAACGTTGTTGTGAGCTGCCGGCGACATCGAGTGTTCTATATTCCACGACGTGAGCGCTTTTAACGACCCCAAAACATCCACAACTGCCCCTAACCTCAACCTACCTACGTCCCACGAGAGAGTGTAGCCTAGGTCTCACGACCGTATGCAGTCTATGTCCTCCTTCCCAGAAGGAAAAAAAAATTGAAACCACCCACAAAAACTACATCCCTCTGATTGCACCAACACACAAATGCACACCACAAAACAGCACAAGAAGCACAGTTACCAACTGTACGATTTATCTACCACCCTCTGAAATATTAGACTGTCCTGTCATCTGTGGAATTCCCGTGTACTGGGGGAGATATTGGGAAAGTACCTATTTAGGGTATTTTTCTTAAGCACATGTTAGAGTCAGGGTTAAGGTGAGTGTTAGCAAAACACACATTTTATAAAGAAATGCAAAATAAACAGCAAATGGAAACATTGATGTCATGTGATGTGTTTTGACTATCCCAGGAACTCCCGGATTTGCTTTTTCTGTAAAATAAAGTATCTTTAAAGAGTTAAAAGGGTGTAAAGAGTTATCACAACCCGTTCACTTTGGTCTAGAGGTTACTTCTTAGCCAAATTGTGGTGCCCCAACATAACTGTGTTATACGTCTAAAAGAACGAAATGGGCTTCTGAGATTTGTAGCTTTTTAATTATTATCTTCGATATGTTAATCCTACATTGTATAAATATGGAGAGAGTAAAAAAAAAAAAAGGGAGCTTTGAAAGAAGCCGAAACAGTTGCTTGTGGCCGGGTAATCGTCCCTACTGTTTTCTTGCTGCGTCAGTCACTGCCATCAGAACGACGTGAGAGCTGAATAGTGCCAACATCCTTAGTCGTCGGCTCCTCGCTTTGAAAGGGGTGCCTATTTTTAACATTTGTATAGTAATGTTTACAAGGACAGCTGGTGAAATGCATTTATATCTGTCAGCTGGGCGATAGGAATTATGGCGTAGCAGGGTGGAATGAAATCGTTAAACCGATGAGAAAGATAAGATTTTTTTTTTTTTTTTGTGGGGGGGGGGGGGGGGGGGGGAACAAAGCAGTTATTGAATGTCTGTCTTCTTTTAGTTGTACGAAATTTTCCCCGTACACATTTCACGTGAGAGAAACATCAATTTTGCATTACTAACTATAGAGGTTTGACGGAGCTTCAATTACGCCCCCCCCCCCTTTTTTTCCCCTTTTCTGCCCCTTTCTGTGCTTGTCTTCGTAGATCTATCTCTTTACAATATTAGGACAAACTAGCAGTAAATTATTTTGTATGAAATTATAAATCCGTTTTCCAGTCCAGGTGCATTTTTCAACCTTGGGAAAAGTTCCCAGTGATGTTATTTAGACAAGTGGGAGATAACTTCAAAGAAATCAGATTAAATCATTAAAAATAATAATAATCTCTCGTGTGTGTGTGTGTGTGTGTGTGTGTGTGTGTTATAAATAAGTATATGATGTGCTCCTATTAAATAAACGTAGCATGTTTTCCTATAAATGGGCGTATGCTGTTTCTGTTTAAACAAGCTCGTGATGTTTGGCTTTCAGTGTGCGTGTGATGTTTTTTATGAATGAGCGCCAAATGATAGTGTAGTGTTTTCCTATAAATGAGTGTGTTTTGTTTTGCTGTAACTCAGCATGTGATGTTTTCCTATAAACGAGCCAATGGTGTTTTTTTTTTCTATAAACGAGCGATACATGTTTTCCTAGAAATGAAAGTATGATGTTTTCATATAAATGAGTGTGTGCAGTTTTGCTGTAACTCAGCGTGTGATGTTTTCCTATAAATGTGCGTATGATGTTTTTTTTATGAATGAGCGTGTAATGTTTTCCTATAAATGAGAGTGTGATGTTTTCCTATAAATGAGTGTGTGCTGTTTTCCTGTAACTCAGCGTGTGGTGGTTTTCTATAAATAAGAGTGATGTTTTCCTATAAATGAGTGTGTGCTGTTTTCCTGTAACTCAGCGTGTGGTGGTTTTCTATAAATAAGAGTGATGTTTTCCTATAAATGAGTGTGTGCTGTTTTCCTGTAACTCAGCGTGTGGTGGTTTTCTATAAATAAGAGTGATGTTTTCCTATAAATGAGTGTGTGCTGTTTTCCTGTAACTCAGCGTGTGATGGTTTCCTATAAATGAGACGTCTTCCTATGAATGAGCGCGTGATGTTTTTTCTAAAAATGGGCATATAATGTTTTGATGTAAACGAGCGTGAGTGGTTTTTGCCGTTAACGAACGTGCGATGTTGTGCAACATTTGTTTTGTTTTTTGTTGTCGTTGTTTTTGTTGTTGCTATGATAATGTGATGGCCTAATAATTACAATAATCGCTTCTTATTCTTCTTCTGCTTTTTCTTCTTCTTCTTCTTCTACTATTACTTTTTCTTCTTCTTCTTCTTCCTCTTGTGCAACTACTGTTTCTTCTTCTTCTTCTTCTTTTCTTGTTCTTCATCTTCTTCTTCTTTTTGTACCACTAATGTTTCTTCTTCCTCTCCTTCTTCTTCCTGTGCTTTTTTTTTTCAATTTCCTAAAATTGGGGTTGGCAGGCTGTGTTGTGGGTTACAGCTGGGCTGTGATACTTGTACTTTTTAAGCCCAACACATAGGATTTCAGCAAAGCCCTAATTATTCGCTGTTTACCTCATGCTCGTTGGAAAATATTTTCCCTTTCCAAGTGTGAGGGAGATATACAGACAGACGACTGGTGTTATACGGAAAAACTAACAAGCAACTATAGATAATCAAACTGGTCAAAAGTGGATTGTTAACATGAAAGAAAAAGGATGATATTTAGTATGCACTAAGCGATACGATACTCCTTATAATGCAGTACTCGAGAAAAGAGTCACAGGCAGGCGAGCAAGAGGAAAACAGAAATATAAGTAAGAGGTTAACAGCAAAAGAATGGATGAATAACAACAGTCTGAGAGAGGTTGACCCAGTCGTAGTAGAATGTATATAAATAAACACACAATTCTGTTGTCAACCAAGTCTTGCTAAATTTTGAGGACCTTTTCACGTTTCCTGGCCCATCCACCATTTCCTCAGTGTGACCTAGGTCAGAGGCGTTTCAAGTTGTAATGCTTTCTTCGAAAAGAGTCTCTCGTATGACCTAGGCCACGCCCATCTGTATAAAAATAGAGTTGGCCGTGCCTAGGCTGTGGGTAGGGGGTTTTGGCCAGTTCTACATGTTCTGGGAGTCGTTGAAAGCTGTGTCGTCTTGTAGTATAGAACACGCGACATTGGCGCTGATGTAACTGGAGGCAAGACAATCCTGACACCACTCCGACGTCGAACAATCTGAGAAAGTATGAACAGAGGGTCAGCCAGTGTGTAGATGGGCCGGGAAACGTGAACTGGACCGAATTTTGAAAGCAAATGTGGTGATCCCATGTCCATGTTATATGAGACATTAGCCATTTAATTGTCTGCAAGACTTCTTTCTGGCGATGCGTAATGGTACGCAGTATTTTACCGACCACTCGATAAGGTGATGACGTCAGCATCACATCGACCGCCTTTACTTCCTAGGACTTTACCTGGTACTTATTTAAGACTGGGTTGACCTGGGAGGCAAGATAAATTTTTTAAAAAGTCTAAATTTCGAACCTTCTCAGCAGTATCTGCTATGGGACTGTCTTATAATTTAATCTATGAATCAATCAGAAGAAGAAGAATAAACAGTAGTACTACAAGAAGAAGAAGAAGAAGAAGAAGTGGAAGAAGAAGAAGAAGAAGAAGAAGAAGAAGAAGAAGAAGAAGAAGAAGAAGAAGAAGAAGAAGAAGAAGAAGAAGAAGAAGAAGAAGAAGAAGAAGAAGAAGAAGAAGAAGAAGAAGAAAAAGATGATGATGATGATGATGATGAAGAAGAAGAAGAAGAAGAAGAAGAAGAAGAAGAAGAAGAAGAAGAAGAAGAAGAAGAAGAAGAAGAAAAGAAGAAGAAGAAGAAAGAAGAAGAAGAAGAAGAAGAAGAAGAAGAAGAGAAGAAGAAGAAGAAGAAGAAGAAGAAGAAGAAGAAGAAGAAGAAGAAGAAGAAGAAGAAGACGACGACGACGTAGAAGAAGAAGAAGAAGAAGAAGAAGAAGACGTAGAAGAAGAAGAAGAAGAAGAAGAAGAAGAAGAAGAAGAAGAAGAAGAAGAAGAAGAAGAAGAAGAAGAAGAAGAAGAAGAAGAAGAAGAAGAAGAAGAAGAAGAAGAAGAAGAAGAAGAAGAAGAAGAAGAAGAAGAAGAAGAAGAAGAAGAAAAAGAATGATTACTGTAGAAAGCAAGGACGCTAATCATTAAGCCATCACATTGTCATAGCAAAAACAAATGTAGCACAACATAGCATGTTCGTTCTTACGAAAATCCACTCATGCTGCTTTACAACAGAACATTATACACTCATTAAGAGGAAAACTTCACGCCCTCATTCATAAGAAATTACAAAAATTAAAAAAAAAAAACCTTATAAAGAAAGAAGAACGCACGCGCGCGGGCGCACACACACACACACCCGTAGTCATTATAGAACACAACATAAAAACACATTGAAATACCTGTGTCAGTTAATGCCCGTAATAATTTAAAGTCTACACGCCGGGTTCAACACAGGTCACAAGCATGTATGCACTACCTTAGTTCTTTCACAAGTATCACAAATCACTTCACAGCACCATAAAAACCGACACTTGCAGTTCTCTCGAAACGCCAGCAGTGTTTTCGAGTAACCCCTACCACAGCAGAGTAAATCACAGCCTCCCACCCCCAGAGAATTGGACTCACATTCTCGACCCTTTGTACCTAAAGACCCCACTGCCCGGTTTTTTTTACAGAAGTCCGGTGAGGGGTCGGAATATACCAGGTCTTGCTTCGATGGCGGCTTGATCGTTATTCCTTCAGGGATGATATACTTCCCGTCGTTTGAGATTATTACCCTAATGGCGCCATCAAACGTCTCTTTCAGCCGGATCCCAACTTCTCTCAATGGCGGCATTTTTTTCCAGCAAGTTTTGAGAGTACATGAGCCAGAAAGCCCGTGGCATTTACATTCTTGTCTCATAAAACTTTTCACAGCCTGGGGATGAATAAAAAGAAAACATATTACTGAAATTGTTTTTGCACGCCGTGAATAATTTGGCGTAATAAATTTGAGATATTTGACGCGTGTTCATGTTGCACATTTTCTTCTTCTTTTGTGAAAATCTGCTTTTGCCGTTAGGCTTCGTAGTTCGTCAGAAGATCGGCAGCCGATCCAGGTTGCGCTCGGTTGCTTGATATACCGTGATAATATGCAGTCTCAAGGTGTCAGTGATTCCTTCAATCCATATCTTCTCGGTCTTCCCCTGCCTCTTGATGTTTCGATTTTCAGATTGTACGCTCTTGCTGGTCGGCTCTGTGGCTAAGTCGATGAGAACGCCTCGTAATGCCGGAATGCCGGGTTCGATCCCGAAGTAAATTTGCCTAGAAAAACAAACGGGGTTGGTTCTGCAACGTCCTGTAAAGGCTACGCAACTAACCTAACGCTCTCGCTGCTGGTATCGTTAGTTTTTAATTCTTATTAGATGGCCAAACCATTTCCTTCTTTGTTTCGCAACAAATTTGACGATGGGTGTTGTTCCAACTGTGTGATGATTTTGCTTCTCAGTCGATCTCTTCTGATTTTATTCGCAGCCATTCTCAGGTGGTTAGTTTTTTCCGTGTTTTTTGTCAATGACGAAGTCTGACACTGGTAACCTAAAGTTGGTATAACTAATGTGTTTATAATTTGCCTTTTTATCACTATTAGAATAGCAGGGAGTTTTAAAATTAGAGCAAGTTGGAACTTGACATTTTTGCTCAGTGGATTCTCGTTTCTATCTCTTGCGCATTTTTTTATAGTGTAAAAAAAAAAAAAAAAAAAATATCCCAAATATGAACACTTCTTAAACTGTTTCATTTTGGAAACAACATGACATAAGTCATAAACTATAGTGTAATTAATGAAGCAGAAAATAAAGGAAAAGTTAGGGTCGAGAGGTTCGACTTCATTGCATCGCATATGATTTTGTTTCTCTCCGCATAATGTCTAGCCCCCTGCAAAAAGCGTCGCACAAAGTTTGAACCATGTAGCTTCAGCGACGATCCGGGGGATCCCCTTTAAAAACTAACCCCTGAAATCATCGATGTTTATGAAACAAACAAACGAACCACTTTCAATGCGAAGAAAACGGCTAATTAGATACGAAGACCTCCTAACTAAATGTTATATCGGCGACCGGCTCGCCCATTGGCTCACCGGTAGACGACATTGTCGCCGGCTGGGACAATATTTGAGTCTGTCTCCTTTGATCGCATCTATACTGCAGGAGTCCCTTACAGGGGTCTTTGTGGAGTGCAATGCTACGCCAATTTAAATGGCGCACATAACCTAGTCACAATTATAACCTAATGCTTCATCTTCGGAGATGCTCGTTGAATGTGACGATTTTTTTTTTCTTTCAGAATCAGGAGGATTCAATGTTATAGCGGAGAGGATCGACATTTTTTTGCAATGTGTATCACATGATTGGTCATTCTCCGAAGAGCAGCTAGGCGCAGTGTTGCCACTTTGCATGTTTTACATCCAGATTTAGATGGGTGTTTTTTTTTTTCTTCTTGCATTTAGATGGCGTTTTTGACGTTTAGATGGTAGATGTTTTTCCGGATTTTTTCATTTAGAGTGAATTTATCAAATCTAACCTAGAAACAGGATGCAATTTGAACTCTTAAATGCTATCTTGACAATAAAATTCGGCCTGATAAGAGTAGGAAAAGGCTGTTCCACTTATCAGCTCCCTGATTAGGTATTAAAAGAAACTGGAACGGCTAAAGCATACCAGAGTCATTTTGGATCTGAAGCTTCAACTTCATCATCCAAGCTTAGTTTATCCTGTGGATTTTGTGAGGCAGACTTCAGTAAAGATGAGGACATGATTCTATAGGGTAACTCATCAATTGCTATGTTATTTGTGACTCTTTCCATTTGGATGTTTTTTCTAGAATGTTTTCAAATTTAGAAGTTTTTTGATTTTGTTTGACTTCGTTTTGGATGTTTTTTGTCATAGAAAAGTGGCAACACTGGCTAGGCGCCCTGATATTAGCACTCCTGACCTGGGAGGAGCGTTACGAAATACACCATATTATAGAACAGCGGTTCTCAACCTATGGATCTCGACCCTTTTGTGGGTCGAACGACCCTTTTACAGGGGTCGCAAAACGACCATTGAAAAACAAATATTTACTGAAGTTACGAAGAAGCAACGAAAATAATTTTAAGCCTGACGGTCGCCACAACATTTGTAACTGTATTAAGGGGTCGCGGCATTAGAAATTTTTAGAACCACTGTCATAGAAGAATGGTGTCTGTTAGGATTACATAATTTGCGACATCGATGGCGTTTTTTATCTTGGAACTAGTAACACCGGGGAGTCACCGTGGTGTAGCGGCTAGATGCTCGCCTACGGATCGGAAGGTCGTGGGTTCCGAGCTTTCTTCAGAAATTACGCGACACAACCTTGCGGGGACACATGACTACCGACGTTACACTAGCATGGACTGTAAGAAGAAGAACACGTTTTTCACACATCAAGTCAACAGCTCGCATAATAGTTTGAGAGTATTGTGCGCACGCGCGCGCGCGTGTGTGTATATGGGTGGGTGTGTATATGAGTGTTGTGCATGTACACGTGTGTATGTGTGTGTGTGTGTGTGTGCGTGCGTGTGTGTGTGTGTGTATGTTTGTGTGTGTGTGCGCGCGTGTGTGTGTAAACATTTATACTGTGGTACCTTTTCGTCTCTTCTCTTCAGATGATAGTATCCCACTGTACTGCAGAAAGTAATTTGAACAACAGCCCCTGACGATGTCGAGTCTGAACAGCCGGAGAAGCGGCTGTTATTTAAAAACAACCTTCCACAACAAATGCATGAGATTTCAGAGCCATTATTGTCATCCATCTTAGTTGACGTCTTTCCAAGAGACTCAGCTTTTAACTTGTGAGCAATCCTTTCCCTCGTTTGTTCCTTTTTCGGTCATAATTAATAACCCCCCCCCCCCCCTTTTTTTTTCACTCAGTATAATTCGTAACATCCTATTTCCATTAACTCTTTGAGTCCCAGGGGGTTTAGCATCAGAGGCCCAATGGGTAGTCAAGAGAAATGTAAAATCGACACATCTTGCGTTCATTGGGCTTCTAGTTAGGAACCTATGAACGTATAATACGTTCCTTGGGACTCAAAGAGGTAATCTACCTCAGTACCTGTATCATTGATGTTCCGTTTGCACACTATTAAAATTATAGCAGAGGTCTACCTGACATCTTTCACCGATCTGTATATTCAGAATAATAGTGTCCTTGGGAGCTCTGTCAACCATCCTCCATCCTTGACACCTAAGCCTTGTATGTAGGAGCTTGAAATGAAACCATTTAAAATGTGAGAGAAATTACACCAACACTGCCATTGTCTTGCAACATAACAACAACGTTGTTGTTGAGGATGTCAAGAGTTTTAAGCGCATGATCTCACGGAGGTTGTCATAATGTTTGAAAAGAGATCTTCATAAAAACATTGTGAGTGTGGACCGATGACAAGATCTGTGACAGAAAAAAACAAAACAGAGTGAAATGCTGCTAAATGGTCTAAGATGGCGCTATAGAAGAACACCATCAAAAGCATAGATCCGCAACACCAAGGACCCAGGTTTGTTGACAATCATTAATGCAAATGCTATTTGAATGCATGAAAAAATGAATGAATGAATGAATGCCACACTGCATTCAGGAAATGCTCACACGTTCTTCGCCCCTTCCACCCCCCCAGAAGAAACAACTAATCGAAAAATTCCCAAACAGAAGAAACAACTAATCGAAAAATTCCCAAACAGAAGAAACAACTAATCGAAAAATTCCCAAACAGAAGAAACAACTAATCGAAAAATTCCCCAACAGAAGAAACAACTAATCGAAAAATTCCTAAACAGAAGAAACAACTAATCGAAAAATTCCCAAACAGAAGAAACAACTGTAACCTGATTAAAGGAATATCCATCATTTCCTCTGTGCATTGCATATGCTCCAGACACTCTGCTCACTTTGCTGTTGGCAAAACTATTTCAATACGATAAAACTCTCGATGAGCATTGCGTTTTTCCTGGAGTTATTTACCCCGAGATTCGTATTCCTCAGGGATTCTTGAACATACTCTGTTTCCTCAAGGTCTGACAGCCATGATGGAAACCAGTCCATACACAGTGGAAGAGATCCATTTCAGTACCACAACTTAAAAAGAAACCAATCGCAAGCAAAGGAAAGGTTTGATAAACATGAGGCCAAAAGATAGCCCTGCGGCAGGTAAAAGCAGACAACATGTAAAGTATTAGATAAGGTTGCCAAATCCACTTACCAGTCTCCCAGCTTCGTTATTATGTAGCTGAATCTTTGTAGTTAAATCCCCTTTCCGCTTCCGCTTCCGTGCATCCATAAAGTCACGTGATTTCCGGTAGCCATATTCCACGTTGTCCCCGCAGCCGCCCCACTCCCACTCGCCGTCTGAGCTCTTATCGCGGGCTGGATGCTCGCACGTGCACTGAGGGAGAGTGCCCATACTACAAGCTTGGGTCACCACGTAGACTACCCCTGCAGCTGTGAATGGCGTAAACGAACGCAGATTCTCTGATGTCTGGAAAATAATCAGAACAGATAAGGCGATTAATGCACTCGCTTTGATCACGAGAAACTCAGTTTATAGAAAATGACAGGAGAAATAATTCAAAGAAAACTTTTTTCCCCTTTATTTCTGTGTTGTTCTATTAACGTTCAATTGACGTAATGATTGTGGGCATGGATAAAGTTGTTATGGCTCTAATTTGACATTAAATTTTCAAAGCTATTTATTTTCTATGATGGAATCAGCATGGGAGTCGTGCCGATATTTTCAATTGTTCTTTTCTTTTTAAACCAACCAATAATGTTGTAAGAGGTCTAAGATAGATGCATGTATAGAAATTATCTTTTCAAATATTTCCTCATAAATTTGATATTATTTCAAGTAAATTATTATACTAATTTGCCATTCAGCATATTATTATTTATATGCATGGTAACATAAGTTCTCTCAGTCTTCTTACACAATTGGGAGGAGGGTGGGGCTTAAGGTACTTGGCCAGGTAACTATGTGAACAACACATACTTCCCACCATCAACTCAGTTTTCCTCACCCTAAACCAGATTTGTTGTTTTTAGCCAGGAAATTCCCTGATAACGCATGCGCTTTAACCTGAAGCACTGCATTATTATTATTTGGAGCAAATATGCAGACAAACAGTATCACTCCAGTATATTTTATTTGAAATCAAGTGAAGTCGCTGCCTTTATGCTTTAAAATAAAACGCATTAAACAAAAAGCTAATTATCTTGGTGTCAGGCAACCCCCGCACCACCCCCCCAAAAAAAAAAAACCCCAATGGCGGGTGCCCGAAGGGACCTGAGCGCCCGTGTTACTGGCGCCTATGTAGGCAGCCGTTCTGGAGTACCATCAGACCATATATTATATATACTCTATATTATATATATATATAGATATATACTATATATATATATATATACTACTGTACCCGGCCACGCGTTGCTGTGGCGTAATTTGACTACATGGAAAATAGAGACATAGAAATGTGTCTTCGCTTCACGCTAAGCGGAGGTACAGAGCAACAGCTAAAACCACCAGGCTAAGACAACTGGGTACAAGTGGTTTTCATTTGGTTTATCACATGCTAAAAGCTGTTTGGATTTTTATAGGAGACGGAAAGTAAAGCTACAACTGTACTTGTAAATAACAAAGTAAGTCGTAAAAAATAGAAAAGCGGAGGTAGCGTTAGTAACAAATAAACAAATTAGGTTAATGAGAACCTGAAAATCACGTGTAAAGCTCTTTAAGTTCTCTTAAATTTAAGTCATTACCCCCTTCGTCCCCCTGCCCATCTCTTCCACCGACCTACTGCTCTCTCCCTCTTCGAAGGATTTGGAAAAAATCACTAACTGGCGATATTTTGTTGTTTGGCTCTAACTGACATTGACATACCGTTCCATCTAGATAAAATAATGAGCAGGAATTCTAAAGGTAGTTCGAATAGGGGTAGTGGTAACTATTCTTAACAAACATCATCCTTCAAGTACCAGTACACCTACTAAGCATAATGTTCACTGCTATCTGTGTTAGCCTATCGGAAGAAGAGAAGAGTCGTGAGCCAGAAGATTTAGTTCCGCATGGCTTAGTGCTGTCGCCACAGACCGGTCAGGTAGGATGTATATTTCACTTGCCGACAGAAGAACGCCATAACCTTACCGGCGGTCTTCCACATGAGAGCACTATGGTGTAACAGCCCAACCACAACTATTACTGGCTGCTGCTACTTTAAGTGGTAAAAGCAGTTACTGTGAACTTAAAGCTCTTCTCAGTTAATAGTTTTGTCCCGCCCCCCCCCCCCCCCAAATTCACCGACACTCGTTTCCCACATGAGTAGTTGGGAGGAAAAAACAAAAACCCCCAACACTTGAAAAGCACAATGAACCCAGGAAAAAAACACCATAATTAGGGAATGTAACGCCAGTGTAAACAGCACAGCTTAAAATTCCAAACCAGATGAATAAACTAAATCTAAATGAAAATAAATGAAAATCTATAAAATTTCAGCGTAACCATGCAATCGGAAAGTTTAACAATGCAATCATAAGTATGCGAATTTAATTATCAAATGGTTTACCCATTTACTGTTTTTTTTTTTTTTTTTTTTTTTTTTTTTTTTAATATTACGGCAACATGGCTAGAAGTGCTGTCACCACGACAGAACAGATGAGGATTTATTTTAGTCGCGGGGTAAAAAAAAAAATTAACTACTGCGGATTCGAACCCAGTCTACCGCACCATTCGACAAGCAACCACTTAATCGGGAACAACGAAAAGAGAACACAACTATTAGACATATGTGTCCCCTACCACTGTGTCGCGATTAAAACACCAATTCAAAACCGCAGGCAATTGTTTTCTCGTAGACAGATACTCCAGATATATTAATGAAATAGAAATCGCACGGGTGTCTAACACGTTAAATGAAGTTAATTTCGCAGTCACTGTCTCCCCCGACGTCGAGATTGTCCTCGATTGCTGCCCCCCCCCCCCCCCCCCCCCCCATCGAGAAGGTTGTTTGAAAAAAAAACAGAAAATAGAAATCGTGTTTAATATTGTGATTGTGGCAAATATAGAGATAGTCCTTTTTTGCTGTAGCCACGACCTACTCTATGTATTAGTATTAGAGAAGGCGTTGGCTGCACGTAACTCACCGGCGAATGGTAAATACGGCGCATGCGCAATTACTAACGTGGCTATAATTAGAAATCACTAAAGTTATAAATATTAGTTTGCGTATATATTTTGGCATTAATTGTGTCACCTATACTCTAACAGTGACAGGTTGACTTTCAACCCACGACAGTCAAAATCCGGTAATCACAACAACCATATCCTGGATAAATTTCAGCTAAATCGTTTTCAGTAGTTTCCGAGTCTATAGGGTGAAAAAAACATCAAACATTGATTTATTATATAATATATATATATATAATATATATATATATATATATATATATATATATATATATATATATATATATATATAATATATACAATTACACAAAGGGGAATCTTAAGACACCAGCGCCAGTTTGCTAGAATATCTATCGTTGCAGATATACTCATACTTCTTCACTCTCTAGTCTTTTTTGTTCACCGTCTGTAAGCTCTGACGGAAAGTCCCAGGTGTTTGTCCATCTGTACTTTGGCTTTTTACCAATGACTGAGTTTTGTTGGCACATCCGTTTTACTGGCTTATTTTTATGTAATTGTTTGTTCCTTGCCGCTCAGGCAGATGCACTCCTCTTTCTGGTGTCTGTCTCACTTCCCGCTCTTTCCTTCTACCCGTCTTTCTCTTTTGGCTGTGTGTCTCTTTCTGCCTGATTCTCTCTCTCTCTCTTTCTCTATCTCTCTCTCTCTCTCTCTGTCTCTCTATCTCTCTCTCTCTCTCTGTCAATTGTCTTTGTCTATCTGTTTTTCACTCTGTCTGCCTCTTTCTGTATGTCTGTCAGTATGTGTATTTTGTATATTTGCCTGCTCTGTGTGTATTGCTCTTTCTTTGTCTATATCTTCATCTCTCTCTGTTTGTCAATCAATCTACGAACGTCTGTACGCATACATGCCAGCATATATATACCTGTGTATATATATGTAAGTATTTATTTACATTATAGTTTCACAACTTCAAAGATACGAGAAATTTTAACTTTTGCATAGATAAACATTCTATTTCCAACAAGCCAACAATGTCGCATACCAGCTTGCCCCAATTTTAAAACACCCTGCTGTCCCAGCTGAGATAAAAAGACAAATTATAAATACAATCTTTATACCGACATTAGGTTATCAATGTCAGACTTGGACATTAACAAAAGAACACGAGAGAAGACTAACCACCTGTGAAATGAGATGTTTGAGAATGCCTCTGCGAATAAAACCAGAAGAGATCGGATTGGAGTGAAAACGATGTTATTACAAGAACTATTGGATCACCGTACCCATCGTTAAATTTATTGAGAAGCAAAGAATGAAATGGTTTGGTCACCTAATGAGAATGGGAACCAACGATGCCAGCATCAAGGGCATACAACATAAAAAATCGAAACACCAAGAGGGCAGGGAAGACCAAAGAAAAATATGGATTGAAGGAGTCACGGACAACTTGAGACTTCATAACATCACGTCATATGAAGCGACTGAGCGCGCCCTGGCTCGGTTGCCGATCATCTGATAGACTGCGACGCCTAGCGGCACAAGCAGATTTTGACAAAAGAAAGAAGAAACATTCTATCCAAATATCACATCACATACACTAGTCCTATGTCCATGTAGCCTCATGTCCCCTGGCACGAAACCCACATCTATATTTGCGGGTGGGTTTTGAGCTCAGCCCATTGTGATCACAGACATTGGTGGTCACAGCCAGTGGTGATCACAGCCTGTGGTGATCACATCCGATGCTGATCACAACAAGTGGTGATCGCAGCCAGAGGTGATCACAGCCAGTGGTATAACAGATAATTGTGATCATAGACAGTGGCGATCGCAGCCAGGGATGATCACAGCCAATGGTGATCACAGCTAATTGAAATCACAGACAGTGGTGATCATAGCCAGTGGTAATCATAGCCAGTGGTGATCACAGCCAGTGATGATCACAGCCAATTGTGATCATAGATAGTGGTGATCACAGCCAATTGTGATCGAGACAGTGGTGATCACAGCCAATGGTGATCACAGCCAGTGGTAATCATAGTCAGTGGTGATCACAGCCAGTGGTGATCACAGCCAATTGTGATCATAGACAGTGGTGATCACAGCCAATTGTGATCAAGACAGTGGTGATAACAGCCAATGGTGATCCCAGCCAGTGGTAATCATAGCCAGTGATGATCACAGTCAGTGGCGATCACAGCCAGTAGTGATCACAGCCAACAGTGATGTTAAATATGGCAGACAAAACCTGCTCCCGTTAGGAAACCTCCCCCCCCCCCCCCCACAATTAAATCATACATTTCAGGAACACTGTGACCATCGCATGCAAGTA